TTCTTGCAAGAAGTCAGCCACGCCTTTTCTCTCAGGACACCTGAAGCCCGTAGATTCAAAAAAGCTCAGCACATGTTCACGAGGACCCTGATATACAACTCGACCATCAGAAAGGAGAATAATGTCATCGAAAAGATCATAAGTCTCTGGAGCTGGCTGCAGAAGCGAGATGACTGCAGTTCCATTAAGGATGTGAACAGTTTGCTTAAGCGAGTTCACAATTTGGAAAGTTGTTGAACTGTCCAGACCGGTAGATATCTCATCCATAAACAGTGCCTTTGCTGGTCCGACCAGCATTTCACCTATTTCAATGAACATAATTAAATTTGATGATAAGAAATTGTGGGTACTTTGGTAATGGAATTAATGGCTTGATCGATATAACTAGTTACCTGTTGTGACACGCTTCCTTTGTCCTCCGGAGATGCCCCTTAACATTTCATCTCCCACCATTGTGTCAGCACATACTTCCAGTCCTAAAATCTGTAAAAGTTATGGCAAATGCATTCAATAAGGATTTTTCTTAGTTGTTGAATATCTTTCAATATACTTGAGAACTTTCTGTAATATTACCTTTAGAATATAATCGGTAATTACATTTGCTTCCTGACCTTCTGTTGCTACTGCCTGCAATGTTAAAAATGACAACGTGAAACATATTAATCATGATGGAAACAAGATTCTTTAGAATGGGAATTGCGGTTATATAAAACACATCTCAATTTGATTTCCATTTCTGTATTTCAATCAAATTTTATTTCCCTTTGTCATGAACGAAAAGAACAATGAGCTCGAGTGCATAGAACATGAATTTAACCTATATATGCAACTACTTTTTACAGGAGGCCTGAAGAACTAAAGAGGGCTGGCATTCTGCCAGTGAGGAAGAAAAGGTGTCCATATTTAACATTACAATGGCTTCTTAGTTCTTACCTTCATGAAGACATCAATATCAGGATCAGGTTTAATGTTTGCTTGTTTCTCCCTTCTTGACAACTCTGCTAACATCTCTGTCAACGCCCAAAACAACAAAATGTCATTTTTTTTTTAAGAATCGAATTATACCAAAAAAGAAATTATGTTGCAGAAAAAATGTTAAAAAAAAAGAATCATCAGGGGCGGTATCAATCAAACTAACCATAACGATCTCCAACCCCTTGGCATCTGGCAGAAAAGGCCAAAGTTTCCCTCACAGTCATTTCGCCTATGTGAAGATCATGTTGACTGATGTAGGCAGCTGTTCTTTCGGGCACAAACTCATGCATGCCATGCCCATTGTAAGCAACTCTCCCCGAACACTGCAAGAGAATTTCAGTATCACATTAAAAATAAAAGCAAAGAAAGAACCTTGGCGTAAAACAAGAAGCCCAGAAAGGAAACACCCATTGAAAGAAACGTAAATTTTCTAAAGCACCTTGAGGGCAGGATCAAGCTTCCCAGCTAAAGCCAACAGGAGAGTGGTCTTTCCAGAACTTGGAGGACCCAAAAGTAATGTCAACCTGATATAAGCACATGAAAAGACAAAATTAATACTATAAGAATTCCAGGATTTCCTAATTTTATGTTTGAGAGTAAAAAAATCAAAGTCCAGGTGATGATGGAAACAGAGATCGCCATGTTACCTGCCCGGCTTAATGATGCCACTGACATCTTTGAGGATGGTCAAGTGTTTCTTTCTACTAGAAAGAATACCCACGTCATTCAAGAAGCCCTTTAATCACAATACAAATTGAAACGTGAGAAAGAACTCTAAGAAGCCAAAAAAAAAAATGAAAAAGCAGCTTGTAGAATGATAAGAAAGTAACGAGAATTTTCTGGGTTGCTACCTCAAATATTCTAGCAGTGAAATTAAGAACGGTAGGCAATGCTCTGCTTCCTACAAAAGCTTCAGCGTCAATATTTAGATGTTCGAATCGGACTTCGATTGTGGGAAGATCGATGCCAACCCTGAAAATTTCCAACGCAATGATACTTGAGTTGAGAACAGGATCTCCAAGGACTAAAACAGAGTGCCTCTGTTTTCTTAAGTCTTTCCCTCCAAAATTATTAACGTTAGAGTGCTCTTTTACCATTTATGTTCTCAATTTTTGTGTATTTCAGAATTCAACATATTATTCTGTTTAAATTAACATATAACATTTTAAGTTTATGGAAAATCGATTACAAAAATTAGTAAATATAGAATTAGCAGTTACTACATAAAATAAAATAGTTTTTCATAAATATCAATTTAAGTTTCTTAATTTTTTTTAAAAATAATTTTTTATCACTAATTTTTGTCAAGTGAATAATATCAAAAAGATAAATTAAATCTTAAAATAAAAATTTAAGGAATGTTTGATTTTTAAACGAGCATTTAATCAAATTATTTAGTTTAAATTTCATTTTTTTTTCCTAGTAAGAAAACAAAGAAAAAAAATCAAAAGTTGATTACCTATCAATACGGTTCTTGAGCTTCAACAAGAACTTCTCATTATCTTCCTCTGCAACTTTGACCAACCTCTCAAGCAGAGTCCTCCTGTCTTGCCATCCAAGGTCATGAACATCAATTTCATTGGCAGCACCTTGAGAGCTAGTCAATATACCTTTCCTGAGACGAGCAACGGTAGGCAGTTTCTCAAGTGCAGCCCATTTTAAAGCTTCTTCATCATCCTCGTCTCGGGAAGACCTCGAAAAAGCTTCCACAGCATTGCTTCTCCATATCGAAGAACTACCTGCTCGTAAACTTCCCCGCAAACTGCTACTCGCTCTGTATATATCCCCACCGTCCATCACCGAAAGAAATGCCAACACCCACCAAAACAAATGAAAACTTTCAAGTTCCGGAGCTCAAATGAAAGAATGAACAAACAAAGAAAATGGGGTTTTCCCTGTTCAAAACGAAGAAACTCTAGAATATTTATCGGGGAAAAGAAGGATATATCCTTTTTTTAACAGGCTGTGTATTTGGACCAAACGAAGAAAAAAAGCCAGTGCCAGGCTAAGGGAGAGGGTGCTGCAAGAAAATTGGGATTGGCTCTATATATAAGGTCGTTAGCAATAATGCTGGCGGCCTAGTTCTGGTTTTCTGTCAAAAGCCGAAAAGTTTCCAGGGGGTTTCGTGGGATTGAATTAGATGGAGGGCAGCATTGTGTACACAAAGATATTGAAGATCCTGTGTGACTGTTTTAAGTCTTTCCCAACTTATATTCTTATTGTGACAAAATCAATTGCATTCAATGCCACCTTTCTTGAAATTGAATATTATTTCACTTCTACTTGTTTTCTCTCTTCTTTGCTGTCCGCATTTCGTAATTTTCAAACGGTCCTCGCTCCCACGAAATGGGTCCAATTTAGTTCTTTTTCTTTTTCTTTTTTCTTTTTTTGTGGTGTCATATATATTTTCTTAACAAAATATTTGGAGTCAAATAAAATTCGGTCAAATTGTTTTTGTTTCGTTTTTTCACGTGCTTAATTAAGGTAATCCCAATTCAAATTTTGTTTAATACTATTATTTTTTCTTCATTAGAAAATTAGTTATGTGAATTTTAGATTTTTTTCCTTTGTTTAGAGGAACCCAATTCAAATTCTCTTCTCTTGCTTACATTTAAAAAAAAAAAGTACTGGTAAATTTTTACAAATATTGTTGTTCTATCATTATATTTCAAATTCTCTTCTCTTGCTTAGATGACATAGTTGCTGACCAATGCCATTCTAGTTAAACTTGACCTGGAAAGCATGGAGAAACATTATTCATAGAAATTCCACTTGAGATTAGTGCTAGAAACTTTTTCAAAGCATGCAAAACTTGAGATGCCTCATCGAGTCCAATTTTATTGTTGTCAGTTTCTTGCTTCCCAGTACAAGTACATCACGTCACATAAGTTTCCAAAGTTATTCGGAAATCGATTCCATATTGAATTGGCCACGGTCCATTTGATCTTGAGGAAATTAATAACATCCTATCATTTTGAAATTATTGTACATAGCAACCTTATTCTGTAACTTAAAATCTTTAGTTGTAAAAATAAGTAAAGCCTAGAAATGTTATGGAAATGCTGAATTGACCCGGATCCACATGTTCATCTAGAAACGACATCACATAATTTGAAATAAAAACCCAACCTATAAAATTCTTGCTGCAACAGTGGCTTTATTTGGCGTATCACAAAAGTCAATCCCATAAGTTGAAGAACTGACTAGAATGTAATTACCATTGAATATTAAGCAAAGATTTTTCAGATCTTATAAAAGTAAAACTCTTAAATCCCACAAAAAAAAGAAAAGAAAAGCATTTACACCTCGGAATGGATCCCATGGACATCACCAATGATCTCATCTAAAAGTAGGAACTGTTGAAGAACATCGAGGGCTTTGACCTTCTTTTTGTGTATATAACAAAAAAACAAGTATGGAGAGCGGCGGGAAATCCGATTTGCGCTCATCATCTCTTTTGGCTTCTAGAAAGTACACAGACAAAAACAGCGAAAATACTTGAATATATAATTAGCAAATTGAATGTTGAGATTTCGTACTCCCTGCCTGTTTCTGAAATAGAGGTGAGTAAATAGATACGTTAGTTGGTTTGATTTATTATATTTAAAAATTAAATAAATTAAATATGAAATTAATTTAATTTATAAATTATATTATTAAATTTATAAACTTCTTTCATAATTATATATATGATATTAATGTATAACTTATATGTTATAATATTTTGTATTAAATTTTATATAAATAATAACTAATTATAAACAATATGTTATAAAATTTAAAATGATAGCTAATAAACTTATTAAGTGTAATCATATAGATAAAAATTTATTATAAGTTGTAGTAATGTTTATGTATAAATTAAATATAATATATATATAATATATGATATTTATATATATAATTAATGATACAAATTATATGTTAAAATGTTCATATCAAATTATATAAATAATAACTAATTATAAATGATATGTTATAAAATCAAAAGTGATAACTAATAAAGTTATTAAGTGTAATGGTATAATAAAGTCTATATAAGTTATAATAATATTTATGTCTAAATTAAATATATGTATATTAGTATATTTATACAATTATATATATACTCATTACATTTTATTATATGAAATATTACTAAAGTGTAATAATTATAATAATTAATATGTAGGATATTTACTGTCATATATTATAATTTAATATATAAATTATATTATTTAAAACATATAACTCGTAATTTCATATTAAAAAAAATTATAAATAAATATATATAACTATATTAAATTGCTATAATTATGATTTGTATATGTACATATAATACCCTAATATATTTTAAGTGTATTGTTAATTATGTTTACTATTAGTTCTTCTTGATATATATAAAAAATATTATATATATTAAAATACATATATAGATAAATATATAAAAAAAACTAGTTTGGTTTTTTAGGTGGATTGATCCAAAAATTTTAAAATCAAAAATTGACAAAAAAATCAATTGAATTAAACATTTTGGACCAATTGATCCTATGGACCAATTAAACCCAATCGTATTACCCATATCGCATTTAATTTGATGGGTAATTGGTCTGGATTGGTTTTGCTCACCTTTATATAGAAACCAAACCCCTTCCTCGTCTTTTGGCAATTCCCTTACCAATTAAAATAAAAAATATAATAACCAAAATAATTTGAATAATGTTATGAATAAATGAATGTATCTATTGAATCTCCTAACCCTTCAAGTTCTATTCATAATCAATATACATATTTATGATAGTTCATCAAAATCTTTATTAATACAATGTAACCCCCGCATCTATGTAACCCTACAAATAGGGTTGTGCACTTGATGAAAAAATTACAATTAATAATAATCAGAGATAATGAGAAATGAATCAGAAATCTTTTTTTTTTAATTCTTCTCTTAATTATTTTCTTAGTATATCTTTCTTTATATTTTATATCACATTATCAACATTAGTGTCTAAAGGTAATGAGAAGGTATTTTTTCAAATAGATTTTAGTTTTTTTTGTATGGTCTAATCAATCGATTACAAATTTAAAATATATCTCTGTTCCCTGAAACGATGATAAACCTTTGAGAACTCCAATCTAAGGGTCCAAATTTTTTTGTATGCAGTATTATGGCAAATATTGAAAAGCCCAAGTTCCACATTTTGGAAGAGAGTGGAAACAATTATCTATCTCGGTGCATTGATGTTGAGATGCATATTCAAAGGCAAGGTCTTGCTAATGCAATTATTATAGACTGAAATGCAAATGACAAAGATAAAGCGAATGTTTTAATTTTCATTCGTCGTCATTTGCATGAGAGCTTGAAAACTCAATATTTATCCGTCCGAGATCTTGAGATACTATGGACAAGATTGAGAGAAAGGTATGATCATACCAAGATTATTATTCTCCCTCAAGCACAGTATGATTGGCAACCTCTTAGGTTGCAAGACTTCAAATCAATGTCTGATTACAACTTAGCCTTATTTGATATAGTTTTGATTGGAGTTATGTGGTGTTAAGCTTCCTAAATCAGAGTTATTAAAGAAAACTTTGTCTACTTTTCATGCTTCAAATATTGTATTGCAACAATAGTACTGGTAATGTCAAATATTCATTTATGTTATTTATATATAGATTTGATGTAAATTAGATTGGATTATGATTTAATCCATTTAATCTCTAAATGTTATCTTCATTTTGTAAATTCTATCAAGATAAGAAGGTTGTTTGGCTATAAATAAGCCCCTCAGCTCATTTGTAAACACTTTTGAATAAAATCTTTTTACTAATTCTAAATATTTTTTTTCCTTTAAATATTTATTCTTATATTTGTCTTATAATTTTTTTTTAGATTTATTTTATAACAATTAAGTAATTAAAAGCAATCCCTTTTCTTTTTTTTCTTTAGCATCCAGAATGTGTAGATATTTTGTTTTGATGGATGCATAGGACAGTTATAAATCGCATTCTCCTTTTTTACATAAGGACTAAATGTTGGGGTAGCCAAGGATAGCGAAAACTTCTTGCAGTCTCGTTTGAAGATAAACAACAAATTATTTATTTATTTTTTATAAAAGGAAAAAACAGCAAATTATTTATTTATTTATTTATTTTTGTAAAAGAAAATTAGGCAACGTGATATTTGCATATAGAAGTTTGGTCCACATGTCACGGAAGAAAAAACGCAGTGGGGCGTGGGTCGCAATAAGGATAATTCAACACTGGCTTAGAAGTTTATTCACGGCGCCTTACCAATACAAGGTTTGGCTAATTCTATGAATTAAGAATGGACCGAATCAAAACAATTTTAGATTCTTCCAGTCCTGTCAGCTTTCATGCAGCTTCCCAGCCCTGCTAGAAACACACCAAGTAACTAGCCGATGGTTAGGTAAGGCATTCCCCGCCTCGTTGGGTCCCCCAATTTTACTTTAAAGGAAAAAGAAGATCTTTTTCTTAATTTGTTTTATAACAGAATTATTTGATTCCCATCCTATCTATACTAATCTTTGTGTCTAACTAGAAGAAAAGTTGAAAGTTTGATACTATTTCAACTTCAAGTAAACTAAAAAAATATATCTTTTTATAGTGTGGGATTATCTCCTAATCTTTTATAAATGACATATTTAATCATTTATCCATCAAAATAACTCTTAATTTAATTCTATCAATAATTTATCAATAATTATCCACGAAATCCGTTCCGTGGGTAATGGTTATACCCTCGAAATACCCTATAATTTTGTAGTAGAACTTGAGAAAAACCTTCCAATTGAAAGACAAAATCGAAAACACCCCCAACTTGTGCAAAAATTCTCGAAGAGTTGTGGTCCCATGATTTAAAACCCTAAAATACCCTCCCTGCATGAGAAAATTTACAATGTCACGTGTGAGATTCTGAGGGCCCTTCGGTGGCTAAAATGATTATACCCCAGATAGTCTCCAAATGCCACTTTTGTCCTTTCATTACTATATGCTCTTTAATTGAAGCAAAAATTTAAATAAAAATATTCAATGATTAATTATGTTGTAGATTTCATTCCATGGATGCTCGCGTCATTTATTTTTATTTTTTCATAAGTTGTTATAAAATAAGAGTGAAAAAATAAAAAAAATGAAATTATAATATATTTGAAATGAAGGAA